AACCAGAAGTAGTGGAGGAGATAAAAGAAGAACTTAAACAATTGGAGGTTAAGGAACCTGAAGAGAAAAAAGAAGAACCGAAACAATTGGAAGATAAGAAACCCAAGGAGAAAAATGAAGAACCAAAACAAGTGGAGGATAAGAAAATTGAAGAGAAAAAAGAAGAACCAGAAGTAGTGGAGGAGATAAAAGAAGAACTTAAACAATTGGAGGTTAAGGAACCTGAAGAGAAAAAAGAAGAAACGAAACAATTGGAGGTTAAGGAACCTGAGGAGAAAAAAGAAGAACCGAAACAATTGGAGGATAAGAAACCCAAGGAGAAAAATGAAGAACCAAAACAAGTGGAGGATAAGAAACCTGAGGAGAAAATAGAAGAGCTGAAACAATTCGAAGATAAGGAACCTGAGAAACCTGAGGAGAAAAATGAAGAATCAAACCAAGATGAAGAAAAGAGACCTAAAGAGTTGAAACCTGAGGAGACCAAAGAGGAACAAAATCAGAAAGAAGAAAAAATACCTGAAGAGATTAAAGAGGAACCAAAACAAGAAAAGGCAAAAAAATTTGAAGTGAACAAAGAAGTACAAAAAAAAGAGGAGGTAAAGAAGCCCGAAAAAGCTGAGGAAGAAAAGAAACCTGAGACTAAAGAAGAACCAAAACAAGTGAAAGAAAGACCAAAACAATCTGTAGATCCAAAAAATGGGAAGGAAAATAAGCCCAAACAAATCGAGGAAGCTCCAAAACAAGAAGAGGAACAAAAACAATCTGAAGAGCCAGAGAAAAAAATTCCAAAACAGGTAGATCAACAACCCGAGATTGATCCGAAACGAGTGGAAGAACCTAAAAAACAAGAAGCACCAAAACAAGTGGAAGAACCCAAAAAACATGAAGTACCAAAACAAGGGGAAGACAAAAGGCCTGAAAAGAACCCGGAGAAAGCTGAAACAAAGGTAAATCTCGGCATCATTGTTTTGAAATTGTAATTCATAATAAATCTAATGGAAAACCACAAATAAAGGATATAAAGGAAAAGGAAAAGAAAAAAATGAAAAGTCCCATTCTCCCAAATATAATTGACGAGACGAAAGCAGTTACATCCGAAGGAACATCAGAAGATGTCTTTATTCCACCAACTTCTATAGCGATATCATTACCTCCTCCAAAACCAACAGTTATTTCACCAACCGTCACATCATCAACTTTTCCCGATTTGCCCAAAGAAATTGAGGTTTCTGAAGAATCACGTGAAAAATCAGGTACACGTTCATCATGCCTTTTATACAAACTAATTTCATTTTATTAAATAATTTTTAAATCAAAAGAAACAGAAATTGCGTTAAAATTGAATCAAATGAATTGGAAGGAAGTGATAGACAACCCAACATTTGCCGCGCAAATTATAAAATTCATGCCCAGAGATCTCGCTAATAGTATTGGGATATCAGAAAAAGATATCAAAACAATTAAATTAGAAAATTCACCTGGAAATGGTTTGATTTTGAAATTGGCTATACCAAATGAATATGTGAATGATGCGATTCACGTTATTAAAGATCCTACAAGTAAATTCTATACCGAGGGAACAGTATTGAATCAGTATGTGGATCCAACTTATCCAATTCCTCAAAATATACATGCAGGTATAACATTTTCTTTTTTTAATTTTGTGAGGTCAACTCACTTTACAATGCTTTATTTTCTCATGACGAGCGAACCTTTTTTTTTTAATGATGCGTCTACATTACAGAACAATCATTTTCAGCAAATAGAGGAATTTTAATTGGAGCGTTGGTTGCAGGAACCACACTTTTATATGCAAGCTTAACAGCTTTATATATACGATTTCAAAGAAAGAAGAAACAACGACAGCTCCAAGAACAACAAGAAGTTTATTTCTCTAACTTGACTGTTCCGATATACAATCACAGTTTGAATTTGCAATAAATTCAATATCCATTATAGAAAAACTTTTTAACTAATGTTTTAAAAACAGTATATTATATTTAATATTTATTAATGCTCATTTGGAACCTTTACTTGTACAACGAACACCAAGCCAACGCTACATTTGCGTTGAATGCAGATTCTCTGCCGTACTTCTGAACAGATTCAGCACCACTTGAAGAGATGCCAGGATTTAAGTAATAATGCCTCACATAATATACAATTCTATGAATTGTGAAAGCAATAATTTTTATAAACACTATTGAAATAATTGGAAGGTACTGATTTTAGAAGTATTATTATACATTATAATGATTTAATTGAAGTTATCGGTGAAGTTACGATATAATTATCCGGTTATATTTTAAATTTAATAGGTGGAGTTATTACTACACATTTTATTTATAAGATGTCAGACTATTAACATTTTTGATATTAAATGTTTGTTAGATAACGTTCCGCCACGACAATAAAATTCAAAAAAATAAGCTATTGTTGATTGTTCAAGTGTAACGTTCTTAGTCATAAAAGACTAACCTAGAAGTACATTTTAATCCAATTTTGGTTTTATGAATCGAATAGAATTTTCTCAACGTAAAATTTCAAAGTGTCTTGGAAACAATAGTAATAAACTGATGTACAAAAAAATTTTGTCCATGTGTAACATTTGTTTGAATTTTGAGAAACCATAAGTTTTAATTAAACCCATTTTTTGATGATCTTTAAAATTAACATTTAGGGAAGTTATTGTGTACATTGAATTGTTTCTAATAATTTCAAGCAGTACAAGAACTTAAAGTTTATCTTTTTAATGTATAATTTGGGAAATATTTGTATTATTTTACAGCATTTATATACAACAAAATATGGAAGCAAATATTTTGGCTGATTCCTTTCCTCTTAAAGTATGGGAAACCCGTTCGATAAAGCTTGATGAAACTGATTCTTTCTCAAATTCCCGGTCCGAATGTATTTTGAAAGTGTAATTAAACTTAAATTTCAGTCATGCTCGAGGGAATTGACTTTTTGATATAAAGCATACTCGTCACGAGAAATTAACTAATTATTATTATTATTATCTTTTTTTGGTTAAGAATGTACACGAATATTGTTGTTTAAATTTCGGTTTGTGATGTTAAATACACGAGAAATTGGCGCAAATTTACTCGTAAAGATAAAAAAGGTGATTCATTAATCCAAAATTTCGATTGGCATTGTGTTTGCTTTTGTCATACCTTGAGAAAATTATTTCGTACACCAACAAAAGTTCTTTTTTTCTCATTCTTAAAATTTAAGACTGAAAAAAAAAATAAAATAAAATAAAATAAAACAGACGCTAGCATAAAATACCATTAATCATCAATGAATTAATTTCAAAACAATGTTCATTTTTTTTTTTCAATCAAGATTCTATATTTGGTTACGCAAATTGCAAAATGAAATTCTTAAAAAAAAATCAGCTGAGAAAATTTAATATTAAAGTAATCACCCAGAACGTTCTTTATGATGGGCGTAATCTTTTAGATGATTCGAAATTCAAAAAGATTCCTAAATATTGAATCCCATTTACACACGTTTTTAACATTTTTATTGCATTTTCATTTTCAAATGATTTCACAAATATCTCGTACGCTTGGTACACAGGTTTGACAGAGCTAGTTGTGATACATATAACTGGATTTATTAACCATTATAAGAAAAGATTTTTTTTTTTAGTTCGTTTCGTGACATGTCAAATATCTTATGAAACGCTCTTTTTAAATGAAAGCCCAAGCGTTACACGAACAATCTCACACTCATTTATTAATATGGAAAAAAAAACCGGAGTTTTATGCGTGTTACAAAGTCGGTTAAAAAAAAAAATAACTCCGAATCGAGGTTTATCAAGTTGAAAAGAGTAACTGAGCGTTCTAACAATGTTTTGTAATAATTAAATTGTACGCTATGTCGGAGTAAGCAATGTCGGAGTTAATCTTGAATTTGGTTTATAATTGATCACGAAATTTAAGTATAAAAAGGATGCAAGATAAATAATCTCTTGTGTTTTAAAAAAAACAGAAAAACTTTTGAAAATAAATTTTTTATTGTACAAACTTTTTTCCAAGATGTCTTACACTCAAACTCAACAAATGAATACTGCCCAATCTCGTGGAAATAATAACAATGCCCCAAAGCAAGAATGGAAGCACGGTTTATGCGATTGCTTTAATGATTGTGGGCTATGTACGCATTAGTTCCTTTTTTTTTTTTTTTTTTTTTTTACCCGCATACGGGAAACTTTATTAAAAACAATTTAAAACAAACATATTATTAGGTTGTTGTACGTGCCTTTTCCCATGTGTAACTTTTGTAAGTCTCGGCTTTTTTTTTTTCTTTTACAAGAATTGATGTCATCAAAAAATAACATGAATTCTTCTTCTACGTAGGGACAAAACGCAGAAAAGTTGGGAGGGAGTTGTTTTGTATACGGATGCTTATATGCTTGCATTGGACTTCCATGGCTATTCGGATGCTTGAAACGTCAAGAGATCCGAAGCAACCAAAACATTGACGTAAGGAACAATCTAATTAATTAAATAACCGATTATTATTATGATGATGATGATTAATGATTTTTTTTTTTTTTTTATTAGGGAAACGCCTGTGGAGATTGCTGCACACATTTTTTCTGTGGTCCTTGCGCTCTAATTCAAGAAGCACAACAACTCAAAGGAAACTAAATTAACTTTGAACCATTTGATATATCACATGAAACATTCTTAAAACACATCATAATCGAGTTATCGAACGTTCCGGAAAACATATAGAAGTTTTCTTTTTTATTTATTATTTACAAAATAAGTTTTGTGTAACATCATTTTTTTTTTTAAATTTAAAGTATCTTACATTTCCCCCCATTCCCCCACTAGGATGACATGCGAAATCTGTATAAAAAAACATATCTTCCCTACATGAATAATTGATTAGCTGCATAATCGAACATATCTATGAATTTGTATTTTGTAATTCCCTCCTTTTTTTTTAAAAAAAAAACAAACGAGATTGTATCATCTTGTTGCTTGCAAAATAAAAAAAATTCTATTATATTTTAATCCATAGTCTTTTTCATAAATCGATGTATTAAACTAACTAACTCTGTTACTAATGATTTTACAAAAAAAAAAAAAACCATTAAAATAAAAAAAGTTAAATCGTTTCTACAATCACATTTCTATGGATCTATCAAAGAAGATCCCCGAAAGATGGAACAAATGAAATGATTAACGATGCACGGCATTCTATGATGGTCATAAATAGAAATAACCTTTTTAAAAAGGAAAAATTATAAATGACAATACAATTGTATGTTAAATATTAAGCCTAAGTCTAAACCTATGTGTTGATATGAATTGGCGGATGAATGATAGAAAAAGGTATGTGTGATTGAAATGCATGAATTTGATAGAAAACTTATAGTTGCGCTTGTTCATCATTTTAAGGTTAAACATTGAAAAAAAAAAAAAGATAAAATTCGGGAAGAAGAAAGGTTGATTATGCATAAACAATTACACAATGATACATTTTTAGGATGCTTCTAAACCTCATAAGTATAAAATAATAGAGCAGGTGTTACCCCGAGATTGCTACATTGGTATCTATCATTTTTTCATGTACAAATTCATTATAAAAGTAACGAGTTAAGATTCGAAATACAAAAAAATTCCTCGATTCATTTTTTTTTCAATTCATTTTTTCTGTATATTTGTTATCATCATCATCATCATCATCATCATCATCTATTATTATTTTGTTAGAAATAATAAAATTAAAATGTCAAAGTCCACTACTCAAACTTTTACAACGCAACCATCTTCTAAAAGTAAATCTACTATAAAAAGGTTCTCGGATATTCGTCGACGATTTCCAACTTTTCCTTCTCGAAATACAAAGATTATCATGAAATCTGATTCAGAAAAAATCTCATATATGAAATACAATAACTCAAGTGTTTTTTTGGTTCCAGAAAATCAAGTAAAACATCAAATATCATTTTCGGATTCGCATGACGAGTCATATAATAAGAATAAGCTCGAAGAATTAGATTTCTTTGATGAGTTTGAGGAAATAATACAACCATATGTTCCTATTTTTACAAGAAATAAAAATCAAATGATTAAGAATCATTCGGATTATGAAGAACCAACAAATGAAATTATAAAGAAAAAGCGACATTTATCTTTCAAGCTGGTAGTAAAAAAATTCACGAGAATCGGACAATATGAGGAGAAGAGTGATAAGGAATATCAAGACGGCAAGACGAATCCTTTCGAATAGCTCCTTTATAAATTAATATTATGCTTAATTATACGGTTATACTGTACTGTAAAATTTTTGTAAATTGATATAGATTGTAATTTTTTTATTTTTTGGGTACTCGATAAAAAAAAAAAAGTAAGTTTTATAGATAAATAAATAATATGTACAACTGCAAATCTGTAAATCTTGTTTGCATCACACAAGTCTCTGTTGTAAGATTATTACTCCTTGGTGTTTGTTACACGTCAGGGGTCACCACAATTTTCTTTCGCGTTTTTTTTTGTTTGTGATAAATTTTTTCTCTTCATTTGTCTCGTTTTCTTCATTAATAAAATCCGTGTTGCAAATTAATAAATGTACTGTACAACGTATTTGAAATTATGTGCAATTATGGCATCATTTGAAAATTGCAAAATGAATTTATTCATGTTAAACAGGCCATAACACCATTGCAATAGAAAGGTGAGAAGCTGCCGGGAAAATAAAGAATGAGCTAATGCTAAATCTAAACACATCTCCTAAAAAAACATATTTGACATATAAAAATAAATTTCGGACTTTATTGCAAAGGGCATATAAATAGTATTAATTTGTATGGAGTGAATAAGCAAGAACGCCACTGTTTCTTCAGTGCAGTAATGCCCTCTACTCTTCTTTCAATTCCATCTGAAAAATTGATCTAGGTGGCCGGTGCCAAGGAAATTATAACTCTCCTTACGATTGTAAATGGTCTTGATGGACATTATTGCATTCACCACCCACTTTTGGGAGTGATTATCACTAAAACTTTCGCATCAATTGTCTGAAAAAAAAAAAAAAAGCAGCATCATTTATGACTAAGGGCTTTCGTGTTCAGTATAGACGTAACACATTATTCAAAACTCGTCTTGTTTACAGTGTAAGTCTTGGCAGGGTTCAATGAAATCATGTCTAAAGATCCTTCATTGAAAGAATACCACTTTACAGGTTTCGCAGCATGTTCTTTTATTCATCCCTTCGAATTTTCTGATTCCATAGTACAAGTGTTCTCTCTGAAAGCACCCAAGAGCCCAAAAAATTTTATCATCTCCGCATATGACCGAAAGTTCTCGAGTAACGTTTACTTTCAAGGAAACGTTATTTTAACTAAAGTGTCAGAAAGCACGCGTTTTAACATTCTTTTATCCATTCGAAGTCCGAATATTGTACATTCTTGATTTTTATAAATAGATTTGAAATTAGTAATAATGACTTGAATGATATTGATTCGTTAACGTTTGTATAACATTATCATTGTTTTTGATTATTAGAAGGTATTAATGAAGGGAAATAAGTTTTATTGGTTTCATTTGAACTCAAAATATATTGAACAAAACTTTATGGTTGAATAATGCCCAATATTTATAATTTTTATTCCGATAGTTCCGCGAAATTCTGACTTTTTGTAAAAAGGTTACACATTCATTATCAGTTAGATCCGGTCGATAGCAAATGGACTCCAAATCGAGTGTATGTATGTTCAACATAACATGATTGGATCCTGGTCGTATCTTTATTAATTTCGGTTTGTTAAGACAATAAAACCCTTATGTTGTTGTAATTAGGTGAAATACTGTATAATTGATAATAATGAGGTTTACTTCGCTTTATTTTTGTTAACATGTGGAAACGCCGAATATCTTTTTATGATCATAACTCAATATGGGGATACATATGGCTTACAAATAAGGTTGAAATAAAATAATTACCAAGCAATTCACCTTTTTTGGAAATCTCTCTATCAAATTCAAAATGGTTTTAAATTTGGAATTAATTTCATTTTTTCTACTTTGTATTTTTTTATTTTATTTAATTTTCTCTTTCTCTTTTTTATTTTTTATAATAATAATTTTTTTTTATTTTAAAAAAAAAATAAATAAATTAACGAATTTATCAGGTTTTGTAATTAGAGTAAATTCATGTTTATTATTATTGCACAACATTAGGTAAGGATACTTTAACAATGTAAAATTTATTCTTATTTGTTATTCGTATTACAAATCTCTCACGATCAATGAATATCCGCAGAAGGAATTTAGATAGCTATCTTTTACCGAATAGGTTGCCTTTAAAAGAAAATTAATGAGCACGTGAATCATTATAAATGCAAATTTGATTTACATTTATCAATATATTTTAAGATTCTTAATGTAACAAATTTAAATTTTTGAATATATATATAATTAAATTAACCATATTTTTTTTTTTTTTTTTTTTTTTTTTTTAAATGTTCCTCATTCTCACCAAATTTTTAAAGGTTCCAACAAAAAAAATTTTTCACATCTATTATAATAAAAAATGGCGGATAGTACCCTTACGCCTCAATTTGATGATGGAGATATAGCATGGATGCTAGCTTCAACAGCACTTGTATGGTTCATGGTAAATACTACCTTTTTTAATTATACATTAGCATATATGGGATAATCGCTAAGAAATCGGTTGTTCTGAAACACTTTGTTGACTAAAATCAACAAATGCAATAAAATTACCCATTTCGTTAACAAATTTTCAGAACCTAATGTTGTCCCATATTATAATTCATTATGCTATCCAAAGCTGATGGTACATCAACCAATTTTTCAACCTTAGGTACCCGGCGTAGGATATTTCTATAGTGGAATGGCGAGAAGCAAGAATGCGTTATCTTTAATAATGTTATGTTTCTTGTCCGTGCCCGTCGTTTCAATACAGGTAGGGACCTCTGAAAAAAAAAAAATAAAATTCTTCTATACTCCCGGGGTTTATCGGATTTCGCTATCACGATAATTTGTATCTTATCTCAGTGGCGCAGAATTTCCTTATCGAGGGTAACCTGAAATTTGTATTTCATTTTTAGTGGTTTATATGGGGATACAGTCTTGCATTTAGTAGGACAGGAGGCTCATTCATAGGAAATTTACGGAATGCATTCTTCATGAATGTCGGGGGAGATCCAACTTTAAAGGTTGAGTCTGTTCCGGAGATCGTTCACGCCATCTATCAGTGTATGTTCGCAGCAATTACGCCGGCGTTAGCTATTGGTGCAGCAGCGGAGCGAGCTCGTATGGGTCCTTTGCTCGTATTCATTTTCATTTGGACGACATTGGTCTATGATGTGATCGCTTGCTGGATTTGGTCGGCGAATGGATGGTTTAAATTAATAGGAGGAATCGATTTCGCGGGTGGTACTCCCGTGCACATTGCATCTGGAGCTGCCGCTCTCGCTTATTGCTTGATGCTTGGGAAACGTCACGGACATGGAAGGGATGAATTTAAACCTCATAATATCGTAAATATCATCCTCGGCACCACGTTAATGTGGTTTGGATGGTTTGGATTTAATGGTGGTTCCGCATTCGGAGCAAATGTTCGAGCTGCCATGGCCATTATGGTTACAAATTTGGCTGCTTCTTTTGGAGGCCTTACATGGATGCTAATGGATTATCGATTGGAAAAAAAAATCTCTGCTTTAGGATTTTGGTAAATTTTTTTGTGATTGTCATGATAAAGAAATCGAATTGAACTAACTTAAACCACGTTAAAAATATGTAGCTCTGGCGCGATTGCGGGATTGGTTTGCGTGACTCCAGCGAGTGGGTACATCACACCACCTATTTCTGTGATATTCGGAATCTGTGGAGGAGTCTTGTGCAATTTATCCGTTAAATTAAAACATCTTATGGATTTTGATGATGCCTTGGATGTTTTCGCCGTTCATGGAATTGGAGGCATTTGTGGAAACATTCTTCTCGGTGAATATTAAATTCAGCCTTTACTTCTCGTAGGTATATATTTAGTTGTAAACTAACTTGTCAAAATCGCTTTGATTTCAGGTATCTTTGCCGATAAAGAAATTGCGGCTCTTGGTGGTGAAAAGATTCTAGGAGGAGTTATAAACGGGCATTATGTTCAATTAGCATATCAATTAGCTTCTTCTGTTGCCGGTCTTTCTTATTCGTTTGTCGTAACCGGGATAATATTATATGTGCTTAATAAAATTCCCTTGTTGAGGTTAAGGATGAATCCTGAAGAGGAAGAACTTGGTACCGACGAATCTGAATTAGGCGAATCTGCTTATTATTACCTTGATAGGGTGGTGAATTCCTTTCAATTACAAATTCAATCCAAAACATTAATGACTTCACCTGCTCAAATTACACAAATAAATGATTCCGCGAATCATTTACATAATACTTAAAAAAAAAATGTATTTTATTTCTTTTTTTTTAAAAAAAAAAACCACAACACCTTAATTGTATATTAAATATATTAAATTCATATGTATGTAAAGATAGTGATAATAATAATAAGTTAATTATTTTATTTTTTTTTTCTTTCTTTTAATAAAGTATTTAATGATGGCAGTATTTCAAACTTGCTGCGGTTTCCTTTCAAAGGCTTATCAATTTTTTAAATAAAGGCTTAGACAACATAGCCACTTTATCGTCCGAAGGCCAAATTACTTTGATCTTTGAAGGCTTGGATAGATTGGTAAATTAGGGTATAATCGGTTAAAATTATCATACCTTTTTTTTTTATGTTGATACGCCACGAATTAATAAATGGCTTTGATTCAAAACAAAAATTTCTTCATCGAAAATCCCGAATTGAAGGTTTTGTGGCTTGGTAAGTTTTTTTGTGGCTTTGATCTTGTAATCAAAATTCCTTGTTGAAAAGGTAATTATTTATTATGCACTTAATCGTAAAGGTGAAAGTGAGGAAATTCGGGAATCATCTTTTATGATTCTAACCATTTCATGCGCGCGTTATTTTACATTAAAAAGCCACCAAGCAAAAAAAAAAAAAAAATCCTTTTCTTTAAAAGTACATCTCGACATTTTCATTTTTTTTTTTTTTTTTTTTATAAAACAAAAAAAGAGTTTTGCGAAAACAAATATTTTCCCACTTTTGGAAATTGTAAACAAACTTCAAAAATGAATTTCAAACCTTCATCAATATTCACATTATTCATTATTATCTGTCTTATTACAATCACCACTGCCCAGAGTAATTTGCCTGATTGTAGAGGTAATCTAAAAAACATTAATGTAATATCCCCAACACCAGAGGAAACTATTCCAAATGAAGGTTCAATTAATATTTCATACGAAACTACTCAACCACAAGAGGGTGAAGTCATTTCCCTTCACGTCATTTTGCTCGATGAGAGTAAAGCTAAGGTTTATGAAGTCGTAGCTGATCAGAAATTAGATGGGCAACCGCACCAAGCCAGTGTTCCCTGGCAACGTATTAAAGATAATTCAACCGTTTATATTCGTAAGTATAATATATGGTCTTTGAACAATTGAGCAGAATTTTCTCATCAATTTTTTTTTTTTTTTTGAAACTTAGAATTCTTTGAAAACTATCTTTCAGGTAATTATAATCTTTATTCTATTCTTTATTCTTACTAAAAAAAAAAAAAATGTTAACACGTTAATCTTACGCTAACAGCTGATCAACATGTCACCCGAATTTCTTGCGACATAAAGCTTCACGTTGGTTCTTAAACGAAAGAAAAAAAGTTAATTTTTTAATTTTTTTTATTTTTAATTTTTATTTTATTTGTCGATATAAAATATTGTATCATAAAATTATAAATGCAAAAGCTTGTTCTAGCAAATAAAATTCTTTAAATAAACCAATCAATTGGTACAACGGTACGATTTATTCGGCGATTTCTGATTTGTTTGTTCGATGGCGCAGCGTTTTCGATCCATTCAATTCTAGCAAATTTTTTTTTTTAGTTGAAAAAATAAATCTTTTAAAGTTCAAAGTCTAAAAAATTGTTGACTATCAAACGCCAAATCATCCCTTGTTGGTTAGATCATTGATTCACCGCAGCGTCCCATTCATAATCCCTTTTGTCGATTCACTTATTTTGTAGAAATCTGTTAAAAAGTGTCAAAAACTACGGCATGATGTTTCACGGGAAAACCTTTCGGTGATTTCCGGAATCATTATACAAGCGCAGTAAAAAAAAAAAAATTACATAAATAAAATGTCATTGACCAAATCAGTATATAAAAAAGCCACCAAACCAATATAAATTCAGCTTTGAGCAATAATTTTCTTTTTTTTTTTTTTTTTTTTTTTTTTTCTTCTTTTCATCAATTTTTGTTTCCTGTTTTACAACTTTTTTTTTGTATTATACTAGACAACCTTTTTCGTAGATAAAGTTTTTATTTTTTTTTGCTTAATAAAAAAATTATTTTTTTTGTTCCTTTCCCATTTTAAATTTCTTATGCAGAATACTTCGTCACAAGATAATAAGTTAGTGAATAAACAAATTGTGGAAGAAATCTATTCAAGAATTCAACATACGATAAATCCTATTGACGCCGGTGATCGTGTACTTGTCGCAATAATCAAAGCTCTAATTGCTTTAAATAATGAACCATCAAGTCCAAGACAACTTGCGGATTGTATACAGGATTATGACTTTACACAGTTAGGGTAAGTAAGAATCATGTGTTGATCGGCGTCTTTTTTTTCCATTACTTAGATGATTTTTATCAACTTTAACTAGTGGGCAGACCCCGTTTGCCACAGTGTCGGGTCACATATCAACTCATTTCTCTCGTGTCCGTCAACGAATAATTCCAAAGCCAATTATAGGGAAGCAGCCTCACCCAACGATTACAAAGAGATCATTATATTATTTTCTGGATCCTGACAACGTTTTACGAGATTTACTTTCAGAGTACTTTCCGGCTCAAACACCACCGGATTCACCAACCACAACCATAAGTGAGGATCAAAGTTACGCTGACACTCCAACGACGCCGTCGGATAACAAAGATGTCAACTTTATAGAAACAAACGGTGAATCTATCAGTGATACCGAAAATCAATCCCCTCAACAAAAAAATCTTCAGAATATCCGAGCAAAAGCTCCAACGATTGAAACTGCTGCTGCGCCTCATGGAAATGCAGGTGACACGAAGGACAGGACGAAAAGGTCATACGATACAGGGGAGAGGAATGCTGTGATACAACCCTTATCCCTTAATTATTTGCCCCCAAATCCAACACGTAATCCTGAATCACCGAGGGTCCCCTTAACCCCTGACATACATATAATGAGAATAAATGGGTTAGAAGTTTTCACGACCAGAGCAAAGAATGGGACCGTGTTGTTGCGCAGAGTTGACAATGGTTACGTTGACAAATATTCATTATTAGAAGCTGGTGGACGGAGGGCGAGAAACAGCGATCGAAAATGGTACGTTAAATGAGCAAAGAAGGAAAATAATAATATTTTTCCTTTTTCTGTAAAGGGAAAGCCAAGGTTAATAAAAATTTTCTTACTGGTTTTATAGGATTTCATTGGAGGAAGCACAGATATTGGCATCAGAACTAAATATAGAGCAAAATCTTGGCATATTGCTTTATGAAAGACTGTTCGATTATTTCGATGTTGATTTGGATTATGCTAATACGTCTAATGGTTGTTGCGCAGGTCTCGCGTATTGGTTTCAATGCGTTAGTCCCAAAAAAATTTTCCTTGAATGATATAACTTTTTTATTTTGATTTCATACTTTAATTAACTTAAGTGAATAATATATATGTATAGCGTCATTATTTTATTTTTAACTGCAATTTATTGCAATGTAAAAAAGGACTTTTTTTCTTGTCAAAAAAAAAAAAAAAAAAAAAAAAAAAAAAAAAAAAAAAAAAAAAAATTTTAAAAAAAAAAAAAAAAAAAAAAAAAAAACCTAACGCCTAAGTATAAGGGAATTTTATTATCATGGAACTAAACAATATTGATCAATCTATCTGTCAGTCAAAATACTTTCAGACCGCTCTAACTCCAAATACGCATCCAGATCTTACCCAGCTTTCTTTTACAAACAGCATGAAAAGCAACGGTTATAAAACTTACGAGACAGAAAAATTGTCCTATTATCATACACCAGACTATACTACCGAACATAATCACCCTCACCATGTCCTCGCGTCTCATCACAACAGTCTAAAAACGAAGAGTCATCGCGTCACAAAGGCTGCCACTCAAGAGGCTAATGACAAACCTTTTAAATGTACGGTACCAGGTTGTATCAAGTCTTACAAGAATCCAAACGGTTTAAAGTACCATGCTGAACATGGACATCGGTCTGCTCTATCGGATACGGAAGAAAAGAAGCCGGCTATTAAACCTTATAGATGCAATTATCCTGAATGCGAAAAACGATACAAGAATCCAAATGGTTTAAAATACCACCTCGAACATGCACATGCACATCATGCCATAATTCATCGAGGATAAGATAGATTGTATTAGGGGGAAAAAGCAAGCAAGATTTGATTTATATATAATATATTTCGGTTGGGAATGATTGAACTGGATGTTGCGTAAATCCATATTTCATTAACTTCAATTGGATTATTCCTTTTTCCTTTATTTACTTACTGGTCTTTTAACATCACTTTAATTGATTGCATCCCATTTAGAATCATCAACATAATATGACTTTTTGGTCCTGCATTTTTATCATTTGTGTTGTCTCTCTCCATAGATTGGATTTCGCAAGTTCAATAAAAATTTTATAGGGACATTTGGAAAATGAGCAATGCAAGCCATTGCAATTTAATAATTCAATAATTCTTTAACCTATTTGTTTATCTGGTTTAAATATTTTTTTTCTTTTACTATATGTATCACGGAAAATTTTATTGGAATTAATTTATTATTCTTATCTTAATTCCTATTTCGTGAATCTGTATATTCCTTTCTTTTGCTGTTTTTACGGCATGTATATTTTTGTTTTTAGCTTTAATTTTTCCTTTTTTTTTTAGTGATGTAAAAATTTAAGACCAGAAAATTTAGCTTCAAAATGATAGATGATACGGAAAAAAAAAAAAAAAAAAATTGGTTGAAAATTTCTGATTTATAGATCGTTGAAATTAATTTTTTGAAGGGTATAATTGATTTTAATAACAATGACAGAAAAAGAGAGGCCTTTCCCCTTTACACATTTTTTGAGAAAGATAAACTGTTTTATATATATATAATTTTTTTTTTTATTAAAAATAGAAATTTTAGTCTATACCTTTCTAATTTTTTTTATTTTTTTTTTTGTTGTGGATAACGCGATTATTCTTTTTGAATCTGAAGGACATATAATTAATATTTAGAAATTGGGCGGATTTGTAGCAAATTCTGTGGGATATATTAAATTAATCAAGACCAATTAAAAAAAAAAATGAAAAATATCAACTGATTTCTCTTTACAATTCCAAACTAAATCAACGTTAATATGCGATCCTACATCGAACGACATTTGAAAATAAATTAAGGAACATATTTAAAACGTGATAACGAAAAAGATGCATGATTTTAATTGGCCCAGATATTTATCGCGTCGGTTACGTTTATTTTTTAATTAATAAAAATTTGCTATTATTTATTATTTATTTATATATATTAAACAAATAATTAATTTCCAATTTTAAGTTATTTTATATACAATTGACGTCACGAATTTTTTTTGGAAGAAATACATTCTGCAGGTTAATAACCCAATTAAAGGATCCATTAAATAAGTAAAGCAACTTTTTAACATTTTAAGGGTATGTATTTATTAGAAATCATAAATCTGTAATATTATTATTGTTTTGAATACATACACATATTTTAATAGCAGGTTGAAGTTTCAATTAATCTAATACTAATTTATTTTTCCATTTTTTAATTGAACTCTAATTTTTTAACTTTTATTTTTAGTATTATATAATATATTAGAATACAAGTTAAGTCAAATAATTGTATTATTATTTAATTTTTAATTATTGCTAAATGATATAAATGTATTTTTTACTGTAAAAGATAATAAATTATTTATTATATATATGTAATATAAATAAAATAATAAAAAATTTTTATCATTTATACAGTTAAATTTTTTTATATGCATTCTCTCTAAATATATATATTATATATTTTTTCTTTATATGCATAATTCTATTCAATCTCAAGTATTTAAAAATTATATAAAATTTCTTTATAAATATATATCTTCTTTAAATGCATATTTTTTCAATTATTACAAAGATTTTT